ACATTTGCTTACAATATTGTGCTCATTTTGTCCCAGTAGTCGCTCTGAATAGTTCCAAGTCATACGGTCTCTCCTCCCCAGTTGCCTGTTTCAGCTTTCATATCTTTGTGCGTTGATCATAGTTTTTTTCCAATACCTTGTGGCGTTGAAGAGCTTGAGTCTTACTGAAATTCCTTGCCGTTTTCTAGGCCACTACACACATACCTTTTCGAGGTCAACACCTAACAACAGATCACACCAAACCAACAAGATGGTCAGTCTTCTCTCCTCTACATAGCCGTTTACACATACTTACATGTCTACATGTCCATTCCAACAGCATATCTTGACCATCACCTTAACCTTGGCATTGATTTTTGCTTGCGTTGGATATAACAATGCCGTAGTAGATTACAATGATTACATCACCCCCCTTTGTTGCACGGGCAACGATGAGAGCATGCAGTGTCGAGCAACCACGTCACCGCGCGCTTGGTGGTCCCAGGGCAACGACTGCACGGGACCCATTATCAGCGATGTGGCGTGCAAGGACGGACGTCTCGCCGGCTACAGTACCAACTCAGACGGTTCCGCTTCATGGGTCACCCGAAATGTACTGGCTCAGCGTTTTGGACAAACCGTCACCTGTTATCTGGCAGACAACCAATGCTACAATGGCCAGCTCAGGTGCCGAGTGCCAGACTACTGTGGAGGCAGTAGCGGACTGCTTGCCGACTCCAAAGCTGCTACCAAGGGCGGCCAAGGTGGCCAAGTTGGTACGTTATCTGGAGACAACAAGAAAGCACAGAAAGCGACAGTACGCCCCACAAAGACCGTCCAGTAGCTTCACACCTTCGTCCCTTATTTCTTTATTATCTTGTTATCTTCCTCGTTCACCTTCTCTGCTCTTTCACGACAATTGGATTCCTGGTTCCGCTTCCCATGTTGTTTTGATGTTAGCATCGCATGTCAAAGTTTGTCTTCCACTTAAGAGTTTCTTCCTCGATACTTGTTGAGTTCTCTCAGGATACCATCGATTTACAACTTTGTTCCTTATTCTCGTCACGCTTGGTTGTTTTTCTGTTCCATTGCCGTTCTCATTGGTCCCGATTATACATTCCATGATTTGTTTATGGACTGCCTCGAATAAGTTTGCTCGTCTTCGTTCCACTCCTATTACATGTCTTCTAACTCCTCACTGCTCTACAATAAGTGAGGAAAACCATACTTGCCAGCTTTCTTTAAAAGGACAGCAAGAAAAGTGCCAATGTACGTTGGATGAATCGCCCGTCTGCTTTTCGATTCCTCCCAGCTCCCTTGACCTATGTAAGTAAGGCGAGTCAGTGCAAGATGATCAAGGGACTCAAATCGACAGGTCTTTTCATCTTCATGTCTATCAGGATTGTAAATGAGGATATCGATCGCCCATTACCCCAATGTGTGATTTGATTATTTGATCTTCCACCTTGAGCCAAATAACATATACTTTAACAAATTCATGTTCAAATTGAAGGAACGAGACACCAAAATGGTATTTCTCCTTCCAGACTGTTTCCAAGAGTAACTTTACCTCTCTGCATTTGACCGAACAAAAATGTACCCAATGTGGTCACTTCAGGTCGAAACTTTCGCAATGGGTCTCCTTGAACTACCAATCTTCTATCATTCACTTCAAGTCTTCATCAATCGATTCATCCACCAAAATTCAATATGACCCACATTTAATCTAGATGAAACACGAAACTCGCAACATTTCTTATAAAAACATCGACACCCTCAATCGTTAGGTTCATCAATCTATCAAACCATCAAACCAAATCAAAGCAACTTCAAATTATCTAAATAATCAATCCAATCGATCAAATCTTTACATATCTAGATCGAATGCCTTTGTCTTATTATCATTCCTCTTCTTAAAATCATTCTAATCACACTGATCAATCTAAATCTACACCTTCCACATCATAATCAAGGGTTCGATCAACAATCTATCGAAGGAAATATGATCTTGGCTGTTCCTGCTTGTCTTTTAGAGAAAGACAAGCCGAGTTTATCAAGTCAAGAATCAAAGCGAGCAAAGCATGTAGCAAGATATTCAAACCAAAAATTGACTTTTTTGAAATTTGATGTTTTACAGGAGAGCAGCTATGCGACAAGGGTATGATTAATTATGTTCAATGGTACCTGATTGAAGCAATTCTAATGTAGATTGGAAAGACAAAGACAGAAATTAAGTGAGAAAAAGAAACAAAACAAATCTATTGGATTGATAAAATAAGACCAATCGACCTGAAGAAGAAGATCAAAAATCGAGATCTAAATCAGAAGCAATTGTTTTAACTCGAAGTTTGTGCCTTCCTCATTTTCTCTTTCAAAAGTTTTTTACAACAAAAAATTATACAACAGACCTCGATTTGTTTGTTTTTTCTTGTGTGAATTTTCTGATAGGTAAACAAAAATTTGTAGAATACACAAAAGAATTGAAAACTAAAAGAGAGAGTTCATTAAATAGTTTAAAAAAGTAGAACAAGTGATAGGTAAAGAGATTTCAATCAACTTTGGGAAGAGAAATGGAATGTAATTGTAGAATTAAATAATCAAACTTGAAATTACCCCCAGCAAATAATCAGCCTGTTTTTTCTCTATATGTAAAAGTAAGAAAATAAAGAAAGTGTTTTTGGTAATGGTGTTTTATTTTTGGGTGGAGATTATTTCAGTCCCAAATTTTTCTTGTTTTCTTTATAATCAAGAAACATTTCTTTCCTTTTAGTATAATAATATAATTAGTAGTCGGTGCGAAGGATTGAAGAATGGGAATGTGTCGGGAAAAGAGGTTTTGGATAATGATGTACGGATCAGTCACTCTCATACGTTCCTCTTAGACGAATCACAAAATCACTCATCTCATAGTGATTTGTGGAATGACGTCAACAGAGGATTGGATGAATAGGAAGAGCAATTCCCTAATTCCCATTTCCCCATTTGAAATCTGTAATCCAAAGATTTCAATTTCTTACATTCATCCAAACCATTATCCAGAAAATTATCTCCTCTTTTCAAATACTATAAGTAGAAATTTTTTAAAAGAAAACTTTCTCTTTTTCTCTCTTATCATCTCCCGAAAAGAACCTTGCACATTTTACTATGATCACTGATACGAACAATGATCAAGACTATGTTATGCAAGCCAACGAGACTACAGCTATTTTCGACGATATTGACAAAATCCTTACCCACTATGACGATTCCGGTGGCAGTAAAAACACCTCTATGGCACAGCTTCGTACTCAAATCGCCTCGGTCTATCATTATGAGGACCCTAATTTCTTGTACCATTTTTCCGCCGTTGCTCGTGTCGCAATTGAGTTGGATCACAGAGCAGGAAGGCCTAGGTACCCTATTACCTACCAGTGGCCTGATGACCCCGATCCCCAATCTATGCCTCATGTCGTCCTCAGTGGCATGCTTGAACCCCCGCCTACCATCGACATTTATGGTGTGGTCGAGGGTTTCTTGGAGCGCCCGATTCCCAAATCCCCTCCTAGATTTGAAGATCTTTCGATGTTCCCTACAAACCCAGTTACCAACACGGCTGGTCCTCCTCCCCCACCTCCTCCAGTTCAGGACGTCTTCTCTGTGGGGGCTCGCACTCCAAGTCCACCTGCCGCTGGTCCTTCAAGAACCATGGAACCATCTCTTCTTAATCGTATTACGTTTTCGAATAGTCCACACCATCGTCAGAGCTTGCCCCTCCCTGAAGTTTTGCTTCGACAACCTCCCTCTCGTCCTCGGCATACGGTTCGACAGGCCCCTATTCCTTCTTCTTCCATGTTTGAAAGAATCGACAAGGGCAAACGGAAAAGAAATCAATCTATTTCGTCTAATCTCCCCTCAGTCTTTCCTTCTCACCCAGCACCAGCTGTCTCTGGAGAGCCTTTTTCAACAGGCCTGTCTGCTTTTGCACCAGCACCAGCTGCCTCTGGAATTCCAGCTTCCGCTGGTCCCATTTCGCGAGCGATCATCTCTGCTCCTTATCTGGAAGAAAACGAACATCTTGTTCCCAAGCAGTTTTCCCCTATCTCTTACGAGGTCAACCGCATCGCTCTTTTATACAAATCTGACATTAAAAGCCACGTCAGCGCTTTTAATTCATGCAAAAACAGGCCCGCCAACTGGCAGAACTCTCTTACGAAAGATTTGCTTGAATACAATTTCGTCGACTTACGGAAATTCTATGGCGCGGTTGCCTCTTCGGACCCCCCCCAAAGTAGGCTTTGTATCAACGCCGATGGCGACCTCAAAAACGTGGAAGGCGCAGCTCCTAAAGAAATCACGGATAACAATCACTGGCAAAACCTCCTTGCCGTCCTCAAGCACGCTTACATCACAGCTTTTCCTCCTGCCGCCTTGTCAATCAAAAGCTATTTCAAGTACATCCTTTCTCTTCCTGGATTATTCCAAGCGCGCGTGCACTGGGAGGATGTACGCGATTTTGACGCCGAGTTGCGTAAAGAATTTGCTTCCAGACCAAGTCTGGTCTGGGGCGATTACGAACACAAGTCGCTTAAAGGTATTGATAACTGTATTCTTTACAGTTCTACCAGCAAGCTCGGCAGAGCTGCGATCCCTTCAGAAAAATACCAACCGGTTCAGTCGACATCTCGTCCTGCCAAATCTATTTCTGAAGCTACTTACACTCCTCGTCAGTCGGACTCCCGTTCTTCAGAAAAGAAGCCAAGAGGAAGACGCGTCAAACCCAAGTATAAAGTCAAAGTGTCTGACGCTATTCCTCTGGCTGATCAGCCTTGCAACAACTGGAACGCTCGTGTTTGCCCCTTCAGTGCGGCTGACTGCAACAGAGTACACGGGATATGCAATAAAGATGGATGCTTTGAAAATCATCAAGGAAGCATCGCTCACAGATGAACCTAACGCTTGCACTTTCCTTCGAGGTTTAGAAATCGACGTCCTCGACACAGGATACTCAGCGGCGGTTAATTCTTCTATCCACGCAGCTCCCCTTCCTTCAGCACCCCCTCTAGCTTCTGATCCCCAAGCTGCTTATGCTATCAATCAAAGGCCTGATCTATTTCAAATTAATTGTTCCATAAACGTTGAAAATTTAAAAATCCTTCTCAAGAATCACCCTAATAAACCTTTTGTTGACTCTATTATTCTCGGCCTTACAGACAGGTTTTGGCCCATTTCGGATATGCCTTCTGATTCTACTGTGTACAACAAAAACCACGCTTCAGGACCAGAAGCAGAAGAAGTTCTAATAAAGACTAGAGATAAAGAATTGAAATTAAATCGTTTTTCGCCACCTTTCCATACGCTCCTCCCGGGCATGAAAGTGTCTCCATTGTGTTTAGCAATGAACCCTTCATCAGGGAAAGTGAGAATGTGTACGAATATGTCCTTTGGTAACCCATCTCCCAATGACCTAATTAAGAAAGACGACATCAAAATTGACCTTGATGGCATTCCTTACTTTATTCCCTTTATGCTCTATCATTATTTTGGTAAACACAAGTTCATTCTTTGGAAATCTGATGTGGATGCGGCCTTTCGCAACCTTCCAGTTTCTAGACAATGGCAATTTCGCCAAATAATCAGAATCAACAAAGCTTTTCATGCGGACCGAAATGTCAATTTCGGTTGTGCAAGCTCACCAAAACTTTGGTGTGCTTTCTTTTCTTTGATACTGTGGATCACATATTATGAGTTTAACATTACAGACCTCAACGCATATATGGATGATTCATGTGGCATTGGCTTAGCTTCAGATATGGTGCTTTTCAAAGGACGCACCATCCCGCTAAATCAAGCCAAGTTTTTATCCATCTTCGACTTTATCAACCTCCCTTGGGCTTGGGAGAAGCAGATCTTTGGTAGTACACTCGACATCATAGGATACTCAGTGGATTGTGAAGAAGTCTCAATCTCATTACCAGAAGGAAAACGCATCTCCCTTATAGTGGCTCTACGTTCATTCACTTCTTCTCTCTCTCACCCTCTGGTTGAATGGCAGCGCATTACAGGCTGGGCAAACTGGGGCTTAAACATCTTCCCACTTGGACGATGGGCTTTACAATCCTCTTGGGATAAAATTGCAGGTAAATCGATGGGAAACGCGCATATTCCATTGAATAAACTGAATGTCGAAGATCTCAATTGGCTAGCAAATGCCCTCGAATCATGGCCAGGACGAAGAGTTTTGAAACATCTTCACTGGGCCCTGACTGACGCTGACTGCATGTTCTTCACCGATGCATGTCCAACTGGCTTTGGTTTCTGGCGACCGTCCAACGGCCGTGCCTGGCGCTGCTCCTTACCACCACCGTCCCGAAACAGCTACTGGGCAGAGCTCTTGGCGGTCGTGTCGGCAATCAAAATGGCAGTAGACTTCAAGGCCTCGAGAACAGCTATTTTCACCGACTCCGAATCAGTGTCATACCTCTTTTCATCTCACCGTCCAACCGCAGCCGCTAGATCCCTTTTCAAATTCGCAGTTGATCTCATGCTTACGAACTCATTAGATGTCAAGGTCCGGTTTGTTACAAGACAACATAACCGTGTAGCGGATGCACTTTCAAAAAATCAGATTGATTTAGCTTGGTCATTAACTCCTCGCCTTCGTCTTGAAGATTTCTATCCAGACCCTTCTACTCTTCAAGGAGGATTTCAAGATCAATCCCTTCCTGCTTTGATTCAATAATTTCAAATCTTTCTATTATCACAAAAAATTTAAAAATCATAAAACATATTTTTAGGAAAATTTTAGAATTCATGGCTAGGAGAAAAACAATCGAATCCAATCCCCTATCTTTCAAAGAACGTGATGACCTAAACAAGCCGGACATCAAGAATCGTTTAGAGAAATCTACCATCGCCAAATACACATCAGGATACAGGAGATTCCTGAAGTTCTGCAAGGAACACCACGTCCGAGTCTACCCAAGTGAAACAAATCTTTGTCATTTTATCTCAGTCATCTCTAGAGAGGTAAACCCGGATACAGTAGGAAAGTACCTTACAGGCATCTCCTACAGCATGAGGGATCAATTTCCCATTGTCATCATCTCCCGACAATCAGTCAAGGTCAAAGATACGCTCCGAGGCTGCCAGAAATTATTCTCAAAACCGATTGTACGAGCTAATGCTTCCACTATATACAATATCAGCATTGCAGCAAAATGTTTCAATTCGACCTTTGACGATGCACTCTTCAACACCATCTTGGCTCTCGGCTTCGCAGGATTACACCGCCTAGGTGAACTCACGATACCTGACACAAAAAGTCTACAAAACAATAGGAAATGTATCAGAAGGTCTTCGCTAGTCATATCTTTGTGCGGTTCCGTAGCGTGTTACAACTTGCCGTACCATAAAGGCGATCCTCAGTACAAGGGAACACCGGTAGCGATTGTAAGCAGACCAGGTGATCAAACCTGTCCAATCAAAACACTCCTCCAATACACCGTAGCTCGCGATAAACGTTTCCCTATCTACCCTTTTTGGCTGGTTCGAGAGAACGGTCATCAACCCACCAGGAGTTGGTTCATGAATCGCCTACGAGAAATCTTTGGACGTTCAAGAACAGGTCACTCACTTCGCGCAGGAGGAGCAACAGCGTACGCCCAAAACGGCATGGATATGGACACAATCCAATGCATTGGAAGATGGTCATCCGAAGCTTTCAGATCATACATTCACACTCACCCCCTCCTAAACTTGAACAACACTCAGCGCATTACTCAAGCGGCTGGTTTTACCACGGGAAAGCACATTGAGTTTCCTGGAGCCGTGCTCGTAAGCTACACCTCATAGATGCCAATCTATCAAAGTCGAAAGACTTCTTCACAACATTCAGATTGCTAATCTTATGTTGCTTCACTTCATCTTTTACAGCCGTGGGCCAGTAAAAAATGAAGCCCCGTCGAGACTAGACAGTCACCGGGCAGCGCCAAGTAAGTCTTCCTTGCAAAGACTGTAATTCTTATTCATATTGCGCTAACTTCAAAAACCGTACCACAGGTTTTTTGTCATAGGAGGCGATCCCGCCGTACCCTAACTCACCAAGTGGTAGAAACACCTCCCTTGGAAAAACTGTCAGTATTCTCGTTGAAGAACACAAGTTTTTACTCAACCAAAAAATCATAAGCGGCTGACTAGAAATCTAAAAATCAATCATCACGCAATGAAAATAATCTTTAAGCAGTACACAGAGTCCTACACCATTCCTCGATTTCGAAGAAATCTCACCTACATCACTACTCAAATACATACCATCACTACTCTATATACTACGAGGGTGGTAGAACTCGCATCATTTGTTTAGTCTTAGTTTATTTGTGCTGTTTCTTCTCAGTCAGGCTTCTTTACCATATGTCAATTAAGCCTGCCCTCTGCGGCCGTTTAGCGTGAACCAGATACAACAAGTATCCAAATCGAAAAAGACACATTCCCATTGTACCAATGTTTTTTTATATTAATGTTACAGAAACCCAAAGGAACGACGGTTTCTGTATAATTCCATTAAATCACGTGATGAGTAAGGGATCGATGTCCCGGTACGAAACTGGATTTGGTACAGGGACAATAACAGAAAGCTCCCCCAACGTCTTTTGAAAGTAAGACGCATTATCATTCTCTTACTATTCAAAATCCAACAAATCCCAGAAATCCCTTTTCACTCATCACCAAAAATTCTTCAATTTTCTCAGTAATAAGAGGTAATAAGAATAGTAATTTCTCATTTCATTTTCATTTCATTTTCTTTGAAAACAATAAACCCTACTTGAAAAAATTATAAACAACATAAATATTAAAATAAACCTTCAATTACGATAATTCTTATGAAAATATACCTCTTAAAACGACCCCTATTTAGATATCTCATCACCTAAAGATCTCAGTCAATTATGTCAGCTCAAGATTTCGCAGATAAAGTCGATGAATTGAATATAGATCCTAAAAATAAAAACCCCATAACCCCCTCGACGTCGACCGAAAATAATCAACCTAAAAGTAGAACTTGATCAGGTGGTGGGAAAGGAAGGAAAGGAGACACATCAAATGATTTAAAAGAAAACTAGAGCATCGGGGGCGGCCCGCCGCCCTTTCGCACTGCGTTTTGTTTCTCCTCCCTTCGCTGCAATTAGCCGCGACGTTTTCCCAATTACATGTCAAGCATTTGTAAAGTTGCTTCTACACCCTTCACCATTCCATAAAATTGTACAATTCCTCATTACTCGCAATTGGCTATCGTTGTGAGCGGTACCGCTCTACATCGTCATTGTCCCCTTACGACACCTTTATCCATAGTACATGTGGCGGACCCCGTCCTTGATACTCCACAACTCTCATATACTTTACGCCATCGATGATCTCTACGTTGTAATTATTTCCCATCGCATTGTTACCTCTTGCATACTCGATCCCGGCAGACTCGGTCCCGCTCTGCAAAACGCAGACCTGGGAAGGGAATTAAGTAAACGAACAACGATAGCCCGTTCAGTTACGGTACCTCCTATTTCATTCTTATGTTTTGCTTACCGTAGAATCCGCAATACATGTTTTGCTCTCGACTTCAAGCACCATTCCGTCACTATAACTGTGATTCATCTATATCATTAGTAGCCGTTAAGCAGTCGAATATCCACACAGACATGGAGTGTAAATCAAGCTTACTTTCGATTCAGGAAGTGTATCTTTGCAGGCAGAAGTTTTATATTCGAGCTCAAGGTTTTTGGAAGAAGCGCATATCCGGTCAGAGAATGTATCTTGCCTTTCACCATCACATTTCACCGGGTATGATTAACAGACATTCCTCACACGCGCAAAGCGCACTGGCATCATTTGACGCAAATTGCTTCACGTTGGCATTCTGGTATTGTGCATTTCAATTTCAATTACCGCACTGACAATCTTCATTACATTTCAAGCATATGACATTAATAATCTGCAGGCGACGGTGACCATATTTTCTCATACCCCATTACTGCTCGCTTCCCCTCTAGTGACTCAAGCCTCCTCCCGATCCGTCGCCATTCATCCGAACCGATTTGCGCACCAAAGATACATCAGATAGCTGCAATGCTCATCAGTATTTCGTTCAAAGTATTCATGCAGGTCCTACGTACTTTTATAATCCAACCGCCATTCCAATCAGACCACCCGATTCCATTTCCGTTCACGTCAATCACATTGCCCTTCGCAATCAACGCGGCGGTTTTCGGCGTCAATGTGTCATTCTCATAGATGTAATCTGCTGTAAACTCAACCCATAATAATCTCTGCGACACCGTTGTCAGTATAAACTCGAACTGGACGTGCAAAGAACTCACGGTCATATCCCATTGTCGATGCTGAAGGCTCGCACAGCAATAATTCCCCTCTTCAACTGTTCCTTTTGCACGTCGGTTGTCCAAAACTATTCCACGACCTGGAATCTTCAACGAGTTGACAGGCGACGTCAGCGCCTCTTGGCTTAAATCCAATGTTGTGACCGAGTCTCTCTCTAGGAAGAGGTGCTGTGTTGGTGTCCAGTTCTCCATCGCAACCACTCCCATGAAACTGTACCAACGCCCGCATTGCAGTTGTTTTTCTCTTGACTCATCAATCACAATGCATGGCACGTGTGTCACCAAACCAATTTCAACCACTGCCTCCAATCGATATCCTACGCGCTCCTGTCCCAGTCTATGGAAATATGGAATCTGTGGATCAATCAGTATCTCGGTCAATGTATCATTCATTGTACGTACTTCTTCGGCAAACTTGAACACTCCATTGCACCGTAACGGGAGTTTCTCACAGCGTTTGATACCTTGCAGCTCTGACATTCCTTCTGTAGAGAGTTGATATCGTCGTAATTTTTTTAGGTTGTATGCTCGTAGTTGTTATGTGATTTTGTGACAGTGGCAAATCGCTTCATAATTTTCTTTGTTGAAGTCCTGTTATGCTTTATAGCAAACTTTGTCTCCAACAGTCCATGTTGCACAGTGGCTAACTGGCTCTCCTGCCATCCACATTGCAAAGTAGCCCGAGACCTAGTTCAAATCACAATCCGCGTATCCTTAATTCTGCAAAGTAGCCCGAGACCTAGTTCAAATCACAATCCGTGTATCCTGAATTCTTTCGATTCACAGATGGAGACTATCCACCTCTCCGGTGACCGCATACAATCAACGCCATTTTTAATGGCAGCGTTTCAGCGCTATTAGGCTGTCTGCTCGCCATTATGAGCATAGACACATCTGCAATTTTGCACACTCAATCGCAAACAAAATCTGTTGTAATACATTTCATGTCTGCAGCGTACACTTTTCTTAGCTAAAAAACACATAATTAAAATGAATCATTGCTCTGTGAATGCTTGATCTACAACAAAATGTCATGAAAGACGATATTTTTTGTCTCCGCACTTTTGGAATCATTCGACATGCATACCATAATCTTGTCGGCGCGAGTGCATCTTGAGAGTGCAACGTAAAGTTGGCCGTGTGAGAAGACTGGGCTCGGCAAAAAAAGTACAACATTATCGACGCTTTGACCTTGTGATTTATTCACCGTCATACAGAATGCCGGCGCGATTGGGTACTGAAATCTGTAAAACGGTAGTGGGCATGTGGACCCGCCAGTATGATGTAAGTTGATTTGTGGCAATGTAATCAGGGTCCCCATGCGACTTCCTGTGATGATCCGACAGGACAACACTCTTCTACCCACATGCGTAACGACCATTCTCGTGCCGTTACACAAACCGCGCCGCATATTGAGGTTGCGTAACAGAATTATTGGCATTCCGGCCTTCAAACGCAGTGAATGCACTGGAAAATTTGGAACAGTGAAAGTGTTGAGCATTTCAGGAGTCAGAGGTTCACATGATGTCGCATCATCATTCGAGTCGATGGATTCTGAGTAAAATGTTTCCCCCTCGAGTTGATCCATCATTTTGTCGTTGATATTGGTAACATATCTGTTAAGCGGCGTTATAATACACCGTTCACTATAGTACTTCGACAGATTTGACCAATTCGAATCTTTCACCATTCTATTTGCCTCTTTGTATAATCCCACAGCTAGTGATTCGTCAAAAGTTTTAGCCAAGGAGATTGTCTTATGCGCGATATGTTCCAAAGTGATATCTGCGTCAATTTCTATTTGCAATTCCCCGGATCCTACTTGCAGTCACCATTTTCCATAGGCAGCGTTTCGATTGGCGACATCTGGTGCAACCCCCTCGCTGTCCAGTCGTACGTTTGCAGTCAATCTATGCCGATGAAGGCTGTGCCATAAGTGTGATTTTCTCAAAGAGGCCTCGGCTTGTTGGGCAGTCGTACCTCTCGGGATGACCGGCAAAGTCTGTCGAAAGTCACCGGAAAAGAGCATCATAATTCCTCCAAAAGGTGCGTCTTGATTGCGCAGTTCTCGTAAAGACCGGTCAGCGCAATGAACGTCAGCTTTATTCTGCATTGAGATTTCATCCCAGACTATTAATGTCACTCTTCTAAGTCTTGCGCTGAGCTCGTCTCGGCCGGAGAATTTGCATCTTGAATCTTGTCTGCATTGATGGGTATTTTCAATGCCGTGTGTGCTGTTGTGCCTTTAAATAATATTAATGCAGCTATACCCGACGACGCCACTGCCACGACTTCATGACCTACCGCATTACAATAATGCAGGATTGAATTCAACAGGACGGTTTTCCCCGTGCCGCCGGGTCCGTCGAGAAAATGCATGCCGCCATTATTTGCGACAATACCAGCTTTTATCTTTCGAAAGACGTCTATCTGCTCTGCATTCATCAAATCTAGGGAGTTTTCCAAAATCTCTACGCTCTCTTCGCTGGTCGTTTCATCTTCCTCGTCCATTGAGATCAAAGCGGCGTAGGCAGTCAGTAATGAAGTGTCTGGCTGCGGCAAACTCGCTCCGGCGAGCGTCATTCCCACTTCTTCAAGCGCCATCGCCATGCGAGACAATCCAAGCGCTGTAATCATGGGTTCCGTAGGCACCTCGTCGGGATTGTACTGCATCATTGCGTACTTGCAATCATCGCACAAAAACGTTGAAAATTGTTGCCAAATCTGATGCACAGTGCTGAGTCAAAGGATCAGTACAAGCAAATAGGAAAGGTAATTCATTACTTTGATAACTAACCTGAGTTAAAGGATCAGTACAAGCAAATAGGAAAGGTGAGGAAATAGAATAGAACCGCACCACTACAAGCTTTACTAGATATACTCAGGAATGTCACATGGCTTTCACAAGGTTTAGATAGGCATCCAGCACATAACACTAGTACAGTAGCTAGCACGTAAGTTAATGTCTAACACCCCCCCCTTGCTGATGACTAGATTAGACCGAAAAGAAAAGAAAAAAAAAGAATCATGAGAAGCAAAAATAATTGAATAATATAATGAAATATATTTTAAAGAAAGAAAGAAAGAAATGAACTATGATCAAATTATATTTAGAGCATTTCGATGCTTTTCTAATAGTACCTTTGGTAGTGCTTTAGTGAACATATCTGCACACATATCAGCAGACAAGACATGGCATAAATTTACTACTCCGTCTTTAACACATCCTCTTACAAAATGATATCTTGTATGTATGTGTTTTGTTCTTGAATGATGAGAGGGGTTTTTTGCTAGCGCCTCTGCTCCTTCGTTATCACAGCATACAGTAATTGCTTTATCCTTAATCACACCCAATTCACCCAACATATAAAAAAGCCAACGAGCTTCACGACACAAGTCTGACATGGCCATATATTCGGCTTCGGTACTGGATAGAAACGTTGTTTTCTGCTTGCGAGATCTCCATGATATAGCTCCAATACCTAACTTGAACACGTAACCTGTTGTTGATTTGCGTTTGTGGCGATCTTCTGCCCAGTCCGCATCTGAGTAAGCAACAGCATCTAAAGTTTTTCCACCAAGAAGAAGTTTCTTATCTTTTGTGCTGTTTAAGTAAGCCAGAATTCGAAGTGCGGATTCCCAGTGAGAATGGTTTGGCTTTTGTAGAAATTGGGAGAGACGGTTTACTGGAAATGAGATGTCTGGTCTGGAACATTGAGCAACCCACAGAAGACCTCCAATAAGGCTGGAGTACGGTTGTTGAAACTCTTCATCCTCAGTAGATGGAACAAGTAGTTTGAAGGCATCGGTGGTGGGAGTTTTGCACGGTTTGAAATCAGATGGAAGGAATTTTTCAGCCAGGTCTTCAATGTAGTGTGATTGAGAGATAGATGCAGTTGTTTGAGATTCACGATTAATTTGAAGTGATAGGAAATGAGAAAGAGGCTCATCCTTGGAGATTTCAAATCGTCCATGAAGAGATTTGCATGTAGAGGAGATAAATTCATCGGTTCCGGTGATTGATAGATCATCAACATGTACTACAATTAGGCCTGAAAGTTGATCATTGTTTTTTCGTAGATATAGGGATGGGTCATGAGATGATTGAACTAAACCCAATGAGATTAGGAATTCATGAAGTGTCTTGTTCCACGCTCTTGGAGATTGTTTAAGACCATAAAGAGATCTTAAGATTTGACAAACCCATTCCGGTCGATCAGGGTCAATAAATCCCTCAGGTTGCTCCATATAGATATGTTCATCAAGATCACCGTTCAGGAAAGCAGTCTTGATGTCCACACTCCTGGCCTTCCAACCTTTTTGTGCCATGATGGTTATTAGGACACGGAGAGACTCTTGACGGCTTGTAGGTGAAAAAACTTCATGAAAATCTATTCCCTTAATTTGGGAGAACCCTAGAGCAACAAGACGAGCTTTTAGTTTGTCAACTGACTTGTCAACATTTCGTTTAGTCTTGAACACCCATTTGCATCGTATAATGCGACGACAAGCAGGACGAGGAACCAGACGCCATGTCTCCTTTCCAACAAGTGACTCAAACTCTGATACCGCAGCTTTTCTCCATGCCTCCCAATTGAGTGATTTCTTTGCTTGCTTGTAGGACTTAGGGTCGGGTTCACAAGCAACATTCCCATATTCACCATACCGATCAGGAGGTCGACGAGTACGAGTTGGAAGTTGACGTATAGGAAGCCGATTGGAGATATTGGGTTGGATTTTGGGTAGGGAAACAGGATGAGGTCGCTCAGACTCCAGTTCTGGCCAGGGAAGAGTTTGGGGTTGACTATTTAGTGGAGGGGAGGAAGATAATATTGAGATACCAGGAAAATTTGATTCAAAGAATTTTGCAGATGTAGATTTGATCAAGTTTTGATTTGATACATCAAATATATAATATCCTCGATTGTTTTTCAGATATGCAACAAACACTCCTTGACGGGCTCGGGATTCTAGTTTTGACTTCGTATCAGGAACATGGTACCAAACTTCACAGCCAAACGAGTGGAAGTCCTCCGGTTTGCGTTCTGGGAACCCACTCAGTGTCACAGGAGACGTAAATTTCTCATTTGTGCACGTAGGTAGGTGATTGTATGACTCGGTGCAATACGACAGTGCATAAGGCCAGAAGGTGACAGGGAAATTAGATTCAATGAGTGAGCATCTGATCTTTTCTTTGATGGTGCGATTCCAACGTTCAGAGACTCCGTTCAGTTGAGGGCAGTGAGCAGGACCCATGGTCTGTTGAATTCCACGATCAGAGCAAAAAGATGCGAATTTGTTTGATGTATACTCTCCTCCATTATCCGATCGTAGCTCATGCACTTTAACACCCGGAATGGACTCAACTTCATTTATGAATTTCTTAAAGCAGTTGAAGGTATCAGACTTATGACGGATTGGAAAACTACGAGCAAACTTGGAATAATCATCAAGGAAGAACACAAAAAATTTACATCCATCACGTCCCACAGTAGAATATTCTGAAACATCTGAATGAATGACAGAAAATGGCTTCTTTGATTTGTATTCTGAACAAGAATGAAAGTTCCTTCTGCGCATTTTTCCTTGTATACATATACGACATTCACTGCAGGATTTAATTGATGAATTAGGTACTTCAATACCAGCCAATTTGAGTTTTCGTTTCAGAGTTTGGATGTTCGGATGATTGAACCGCCTGTGCCAGTAAAGCAGGTCGGTTTTAGCATTTTTGCATTGTTCCAATGAGTTGTTGGAGGTACGCACATATGATTTGTAATACAAACCACCGCGTCGAGGAGCACGACCCACAATATTGCCGGTGATAGTTGGCGACTGGTAGAAAACACATTCTTTGTTGTTGAACACAGATACAATTCCAGCATCGGATAGCTTTGAAACTGACATGAGTGGTTCTTTGAGTTTAGGGATGATAAGAGACTGATGAAGACTACCATCAGAAAAACCAGGGTTGAAACAACCTTTTGATGTCGAAGTGATAGATGAACCGTCGGCTAATTGGACAGTTGTATGGTTGGATTTAGATTCATACACGAAGTCAGAGGATGGTAACATGTGGGAGGAGGCTCCTGAATCAACTACGATAGTGCCCGAAGACGGAACTTTCTCAGAAATGTTTTGAATGGCATATGAGAAATCGGAATCATCATCTACTACAGATGGAACATTTTCATCAGAGTCACCACGAGGAGGGATAGAATTAGCGACAGAAGCTTTTTCAGCTTTGTTCGATTTTTCTAGTTGAGCTTTTAATTTCTCAATTTCTTGTTTCATTTCATCTAGAGCTGGATTATACTTCTGAGACCGTGTAAGTTTCTTAGGACATTCAGAGATAAGGTGTCCTCGTTCGCGACAATAGTTGCACGTCTTCGACTTAGTAGTCTCGGGCTTCGATTCTGAGGCTTTGTTTACTGATTCAATAGATATTGACGAATCAACTGTAGACTGTGAGATTGAGGTTATTGTCACTTCTTCTCGGATTGCAGTGATCAATTGAGTCGATGTGATTTCGTCGCGTTGAAGAAGGGGTGTGACAGTAGGTTTGAAAGAAGCGGGAAGCATTAGACATACAACCATAGACAAGATCTCATCTACGGTAAGTGGGCGTTGAGTGGTTACAATTGAATTCAGTCGTTCGGAGATTGAGAGGATTCTGTCAAGTTCAGTGTTGACATTGTTGGTTTCCATCTTGAAGGTAACGAGTTTTTCCAACCAGTACATACAAGAACCAGCTGTGTTACCTTCATGTGCTTCCTTCAACGCCTTCCACATTCCTCGAGGATCTCCACGATGTTTGCGAAGAATCACAAGATTTGCAGGCATTACATAACGTGCAAGAGTCGCACATATCTTAGACTTGTCGGATTCATACGTCAAAGGTGGAGAAGAGGGAGTTGTACCACTCATTACATAAGCATACACCTATGCACTAATACATGTATCCATCATGAAAGACCAGTCTAACCAGTTTGACCCAACTCCCGGAGCAGTTAACTTTTCAATACCTTCGGTGTGAAGATCATCCCGGCGGTATTGAGTCAGTTGAGTTGGAGGGGAGAAATCTTTTTGTTTTTCACCAGTTCCGGCTGAGGCTGAGTTACCAGCAGCAGGAGAAGAAGATGGATCCATTTGTTGAATGCAGATTAAATAAAGTTAACTTTTATGTTGAAGATTGTAGATGAGATAAAGTTTAAAGTTTTAAATCAATCGATTGTATTGTTTTAGCGGTGAATCAATAGAGTTCGAGCTTCTGGACCTTTCCAAGACAGAAGTGATTCGAAGAAAAAAAAACTTGATGATTGGTGTTAGATCGGAGAGCGACTGGGGCTCATAACCTGATGCACAGTGCTGAGTCAAAGGATCAGTACAAGCAAATAGGAAAGGTAATTCATTACTTTGATAACTAACCTGAGTCAAAGGATCAGTACAAGCAAATAGGAAAGGTGAGGAAATAGAATAGAACCGCACCACTACAAGCTTTACTAGATATACTCAGGAATGTCACATGGCTTTCACAAGGTTTAGATAGGCATCCAGCACATAACACTAGTACAGTAGCTAGCACGTAAGTTAATGTCTAACAAAATCGCTAAGGGATTGGCTGGGGGGCCGAATTTCAATATAATAGCGAACATAGCTCGGAGCTGGTATGCACTATGCACGCGAGCACATTCGTCCATTGCTGCAATGTAATGGTCGTCATTCAGCAACAGACCTCGAGCCACGGCGGCTGCATTGAAGGTAGGATGGGCGGCGCCATCGACGGTCTTGAGATTGTCAAACAATGTTGGACCCTTGACGTGCATCAATAGGAGTCGCATAAAGTAACGCTCACCCTGCCCTAAACTCGCGTAAAACACACGGGGAATTGTTTGGGAACTTTGAGCTCTGGACTTCCAACGCTTTTGGTCTTTGTCCCAGGTGAAGTGAAAGACTACCTCGGGGTAAGTTAGCGATCTAACGGTGTCAGAATCGTCTCTAATTAAAACATTTTTTTGGCAGAGGTCGAAAAATTCCGTCAATGTTGTCCTGGCAGCTTTGCCCGAGGCCATTTGGTTCATCAATGACCATTTGTTTTTAAAATACACAGTATTTTCGCGCGGCATATGCACTGCCAGCTTCTGAACCGCTGGGAATCTAGATGACATCCAAAATTCAAACAATCTCCAACACGCTGCACCAAAAATCATTTCAGTTCGTTGGCTAATGATAGAGGTCAAAGTACTTACCCTCTGTACCCGTGAGGCTTCGACCGTCAACATACGTATCTATTTCGTTTTCAGCGGTTATTGACAACGCGGCGCGGTCATGTCCTTTAGTAATGTACTTATAAAGATACTTCAATGCTTGCATCGATGACGCCACCTCTACGTTGATATGGCAATCAAAGCGTAACAATAAATAAGGGTTGTAGGGTACAACATCCCTATTTGTATAAGTGTACCCGCCCTTGTGAAACGTACGACCGTTATTTCGACGTCAATAGTTAGGGTAAGCATCATCTGTCATAGTCGTTTCTTCAGCATATTATTTTGGAAACCCAAATCGGCATTTACCGTCTCTCCAACAACTTCCATTCACTTTACACGGGCCATGCAACATTGATTTTGTAACGATGGACCATAAATCCGGTTCTTCGTTGCAGTCCGGGATTTCAGCGCGTACCACCAAATCGGCTGCATCTGGTGTTCTTGGGCAGGATCCAGCCTTCATTATGGGTATGAAATGTACGTGGGGACGTCCTCTATTCTGAAACTCAATGGTTCGGACATGTGAAACGCCGGTTCCTAATTGGCCATCTTTATTTACAGCTCGTAGCATTGCCTTCATTTTGAGTTGGAACACTCTGACCACGATATCCGGACGATCCATCGCCGTCTGACCGTGTCTGAGACAGGATTGGATCTCGGGCCAATTATCATTTGCAGTCATCGTGATGAAATAAGATGGCTGGCCGAAGTGCCGAATCAATGCCATAGCGTCATGGTATAACTGAGTCATATTGCGCGCGCTGCCGATGTGTCCAGCTGGTAGTATAACACGGCGACCGATTTTGAAGTCGTTGCGGCCTAGAGATTCCTTTGCCCCGGAGCAAAGCTCTGCGTACAGTACATCCTGATTTAATCTAAACCACAGCAATTGCTGATTCTCTACACATGCGTAAAGATCAGTGGCGAACTCCTGGAGCAACATTTTGGACACCAGTATTGGAGAGAACTCTTCACCGTGCTGGAATAACAGATACGTACGGAATGCGAGACGTTCCAAAGTGACAATGCAAAATTTCAAAAATCAAAAATCACAATCCCCGGGTGCGAAATTCAAAAATCAAAGACAAAACTACAGAAAATACTCAAATACAGGGATAAAACCCCTGTACTGGGGTAAAAGTCATGGCAGAAACCCCTTTTTGCCCAAATTTCCAGTGGTCAACACTGTTTTCATTGCATTGTCACCTTTCGACAAAAAGTACCAGCAACACCAAAAATCAAAAAATCAAAAAACCAAAAACCAAAAACCAAAAACCAAAAAATACATTTCTCAAACTGTACAATTCAAACACCAATGTTGGATTCTACTGCAGCCAAAAACCACATGTTGGCCAACTAGCTACAAGCTCGGTCTCACAGGTATCAACACCTCCGATCGGAGACATTCTACCATCAGTCTCAAGAGCTTCAAAGTACCTGCTTCCTGTCTCGCTCTCCTCCAAAACCTCTTTCATCATCATCAATCCTCTTCGATTGTCCTCGATCTTCCTCAATCTTTGTCAACCGTCCTCGATCTTCTTATTTCTTTGTCAACTGTCCTCGATCTTCCTTAATCTTTGTCAACTGTCCTTGATCTTCCTCAATACCTGTCAACTGTCCTCGATCTTCTTCTTTCTTCGTCGACCGTCCTTGAACTTCTTCTTTCTTCATCAACCGTCCTCAATCTTCTTATTTCTTTGTCAACTGTCCTCGATCTTCCTCAATCTTTGTCAACCGTCCTTGATCTTCTTTGACCGTCCTCAATCTTCTTTGATTATCCTGAATCTTCTTCGACCGTCCTCAATCTTCTGCAATCCTCATCAAATCACCTTCTGTCTCCATCACCAACTACACACCAACATGCCAGCAAAAATATCTGATGAATGAGTCTGTTTCAATTTTTTTTTCATTAACAAAAGGAAAAAAAAACAGTTGGGATGATGAGTATCTCAACCAAAAAAATTTCAAACACATCTTACTCAAACCAATCCATAATATAATTTTGTTTTCATTAACAAAAGAATACATAAATTGAGTATATTACCAAAATATACTACCAAACAATGCTTTCAATCATATTTTGATGCAACTCTTCCAGTATATATTTATTTCTTTAACAATAGGCAGACAATTGTTTCAATATGTAGTTTTTTTTTGTTAACAAAAGCCAAAAATATTGGACAAACCTTTCAAACATGTTGTAATTGAAATGTTGCAATATATATTTTATATATGTATATCAATACATATATAAAAATGGATGAGTAATTAGACCGAATATTCCTTTCAAACAAATTCACCACCAACATATTTACCTTGGATTACAAAATCCAAGGTATCCTCGGATGCAAAACCTCAGACAGAAGCTTCCCGAGGTTTTGATCCGAGGTAATTCTCAGGGCAAAGAAATACCTTGGGCAAAAACCTCAGACAAGGTCTGTCCAAGGATTTGCCTCCGATGATGCCTCGGATTTCTCAACCCAAGGCATCTATGCTGGCAGTGATTGTACCAATGCGTTTCAATGTACATATTTATGATATTTTGATTTTAACGGTAAAAAAAATTCATTTCCCTATAAAACTATAAGTTTCATCTTATTTAATTCCGAAAAGAATCTTTTTTTGAATCAGATATATAAATTCAATTTTTTTTATTTGAATTATAATTTTGAAAAAAAAATTAAGAAAAAAAAATATGCGGATGTTCCAGCCAGAAAGGCCACCTACCTGAGCTGCTAGGTGGTCTGGCTGGAACATCCAGGCCACCTAGCTAGGTGGCCCATTTGACCGATCAGGCCACCTGGTTAGGTGGCCTTATCTTAAAAGTAAGGCCACCTAGGAATTAGGTGGCCCCTCCATCGCACTATCACTCAGTGATAGTGCGATGGCATTGCGGACTGGTCCAGGGCCAAGCTGCGGCCTTGGCCCTGGATTCCTCCATTGCACAATCACTGAGTGATTGTGCGATGGCATTGCGGATCGGTCCAGGGCCGAGGTGCGGCCTTGGCCCTGGATTCCTCCATCGCACGATCACTGAGTGATCGTGCAATGGAGGGGCCACCTAATTCCTAGGTGGCCTTACTTTGAAGATAAGGCCACCTAACCAGGTGGCTTGATCGGTCAAATGGGCCACCTGTCAACTGTTTG